GAAGGGGAGGTAACGGCAGAAGCAGAAGCAGAGGAACCGGCCAGCGAAGCAGAACCAGGAGAAGAGGAAGAACCTCCACTCCAGATCCCGCAACTCACGGCGGAAGAAGAAGCAGAGCATCACACTCGGTACAAGCGCACCTCCGGCATCCGCGCCGAAGATGATCTCTGGCACCAGCGGATGGGACACCCCTCGCGTCAGACCCTCGCCAACTGCCTCCGCGCCAAAGTCTTTCCGCCAGGAGCACTGCTGCGCCCCGACGGAACGGAGTTACAGCACACCACCCCCCATCCAACCACTTGCACTATCTGTCCCACAGCTGCGCTCTCTCACAGCGCCTATCCCTCCCTGGAGCCGAGTACCAACCGCTACAAAAAGCTGGAGAAAGTTTACAGCGATTTCATCGTACTCACACACGACGGCATCAACGGCGAGAAGTATACTCTCACCTTCATCGATGCCTACTCACGCCACGTGTGGATCGCCAATGTTGACGCCCGTTCCAAGGCTCCGGAGGTGTTCCGCATCTTCCTCGCGCACGCGCAGCGACAGTCGGGGAGGAAACTGAAGATCTGGCAGAGTGATGGGGCAAAGGAATTTCGCAGCAATGAGCTGGAGAGTGTCCTCACCGAGAAAGGGATTAAACACGAGATTTCTCTCCCCTATGCTCACCAGCAGCAAGGCGTCGCCGAGAGGGTCAATCGCACGCTCATGACCAAAGTCCGCGCCATCATGAACCAGTCCGGCCTGCCAAAGAAGTTCTGGCCTTACGCCATGAACCACGCGGTGCGCCTGCACAACCTCCTCTCCACCACCGCCAACAGGGATAACCTGTCCCCTCACATGAAGTGGACCGGCTCAAGGGGAGACCCCTCCATGCTGAGGGTTTGGGGGTGCATGGTGCAATATCGGCCGACCTCGGCCACAATCGGGAAGTTCGTTCATCGCGCGCGCTGGGGTATTCACTTGGGCCTCAGCAATGAGCACAAGGGTTGGCTCATCCTCGACATGGACAGCAAGGAGATTGTTCCCGCAAGCGATATCCTTTTCTACGAGCGACTCACCCTGAAACAGTGGATCGAGGACGAGCTCCGCAACAAAGCACGCGGCTACGTCAACCACGGTCGCAGCTTCGCGACTCCGGAAGATGCAGCAGCTGCAGCAGCACTGGACCGCGACGACACCGACGAACATCCTAGCATCCCACCTCGCCCCCGCGACGACGACGACGATGACAGCGGTGACGACCCCGCGCCAGGACCATCACGGCGCCGAGCAGAGCCAAGCACCGCGGCACCCGGCCATGAAAGCGGAGACGACGACGTGGTGGAAGTCCCCACCACCACAGACACCACCAATGTGTCAGGCCTTCAACTTCTCGGCCTGCACACATCCGTCTCTACTCTTGCACGGGCCGTGGAACCAAAGAACCCTCGCCAGGCCCTAACCGGTCCTCACGCCAATGAGTGGCGTGCTGCGATGGATGCGGAGCTCAAGGCGCTGGAATCACGTGACACCTGGGTCCTAGTCGATCGTGCAGCAGTGAAGGGGAGGAGGGTGCTCAGCGGGAAGTGGGTCTTTCGCCTGAAGACTAACGCTGACGGCACTATCGAGCGCTTCAAGGCACGCTAGGTCGTACGCGGGTACGATCAGCGCCACGGCATCGACTTCGATCAAACCTTCGCTCCCGTCAGCCGCCACACTTCAGTCCGGATTCTACTTGCTATTGCCGCCGCGAAGCACCTGCCACTGCGACAGATCGACGTGAAGAATGCGTTTTTGTACGTGTTGGTAGATGCCACCATCTTTGTGGAGCAGCCGCACACCTACGGAGAAGGTGATCCCAGTGTCTGTCAACTGAAGAAGTCCCTCTACGGGATCAAGCAGGCGCCTCGCCTCTGGCAGCAGCATCTGCACAAGATCCTCCTCGAAATCGGCTTCAAACAGCTTCCGCACGACCCGGGAATGTATCGCCTTCACTTCAGCGGCGATTACATCCTCCTGACAGTCTACGTCGACGACCTGCTGTACACGGGCACCTGCAACAAGCTCCTCGATCAGTTTCAGGAGAACCTGGCGCAGCGCGTGGACATTACCATCAACCTCGAAGTGAAGCAGTTTTTGGGGTTAAACATCACTTACGCGCCAGAAGCAATTCATCTGTCAGCCTCCAAGTACGCGGAACAACTAGGGGAACGCTTCAACATCTCCCCAGCACCGCTTTCAACTCCCTACCGCAACCCCAGCACCAACTACAAACCAGACAACAAACCACTGTCACCCGCAGGGCTCCAAATGTACCAGCAGAAATTGGGGTGCCTGCTATTCGCCTCTGTCACCTGCCGACCCGACCTTTCGTACATCGCCAGCCAACTGGCGCAGTACTCTCGCAAGCCAGTAGCTGAGAACCAGCTGGACCTGGAACGCGCCCTGCAGTACTTCATCTCCACTCCTGACATTGGGCTCTCCTACTCCACGCTGACAACCACCTCCTTTAACCTCAACGGCTACGTGGACGCAGATCATGCAGCTGATCCTGCAAATCGACGGTCCCGAACCGGCTTCGTTTTTCGCTTGGAACCAACTGGGCCAAACTCCTGGAACTCGCAGAAGTAGGAGCTGGTTGCCCTGTCATCGGCTGAAGCAGAATACATCGCCGCGACAGCAGCAGTTCGCGAAGGCCTGTATCTGCAGGAGCTGCTACAGGAGGCGAAAATTCCAACTTCGCCCACCTTTCGTCTTCACTGCGACAACCAGAGTGCCATCAGGATCGCGAACAAGCCAGGTTTCGTGAACCGCACGAAGCACATCGCGCTTCGGTACTTTTTCGTCAAGGACGAAATCGACCAAGGCAAAGTTGACCTCGCCTACGGCCCGACCACTGAGATGGTAGCAGACTTTCTCACCAAGTGTCTGCCACGTCAGCAGTACAAACACTGCTCTGACCTCACCGGAGTAGTCAAGCGAGTCAGCTCCACCCGCGTCCAGGAATGAAGGGGAGTGTTACGATATGAAGTTTTATGAGAAGGCATTCCTGTATGCTGCAGGAGCCGACTCTACCGAGTACGAAGTCGAGGAGTCAGAAGAGTCGAAGCGACGCAGCAACCGTCTGACCAAGACTGATGCTGGCAGAAACATTTGAAGTGAAAAGAGCGGGAACAGGTTTGAAACGGGTTCCCGCGCCGCACGGTTTGAATTCGGTTGTAATAAGGGAATGTACCCCTTAGAGTACATGGCTAGTCTAGGTCTTTTCGTATTCCCCTGTATTCTTATATAAACTCGATGTATGCATGCTATTATCAACTCAGTCATTTACATTCACTCTGACCTGAGATTCAAACTTCCGCTGCAACACTACTCTGCGATCAACCCTGAACGATCCTTTGCTAAGTCCCACTTGGGATTGTAACAGGTCGTAAACGTGGAAGCACGCAGCAGAGCATACGAAGCATTCCGCCTGTGGCTGGCGCACGCGCAGCGGCAATCTGGGGAGAAGTTGAAGATCTGGCAGTCTGACGGCGCGGCGGAGTTCAGGAGCAAGGAGCTGCAGGATTACCTCGCGCAGAAGGGGATCGAGCACCACATGTGAATCTCGATGTCACGTTGCCTATGTATGGGGGTTTGTCAAACTATGTTTATGTTTGTGGTAGGCTACAGTGAGGTAGATTGTAGTGAGTGCAACACTTTAAGGTTAGCATATTTATCCTTTGCTTGCTAATCCAACCTCATTCCGCTGTTTCTAGTTATTGACAGTCCGTTACCACCTCGTGACACTCGCCTCGCTGTAGTTTCCGCCATCAAGACCATCGCGCCCAACCCTCGTGGCTCAGCTGGTAACTTGCGATCTAGCTGTACGCCTCTAATCTTTGTGCTAGGCCCGTACTCGCTCATGCTTTCGCTATTTGTACTGTTTGCTTCGATATTGCAATTCTCGTTCGATCACTCAATTGCATTCGTAACATTCTCCCAGTATGTACATTATAATGGTATTGCCAGATAGAGCACAGTGCAAGGCCTCTCTAGATAGCTTCAGGTTTTATTTGTAAGAGATTTTCCAAATATGATGCTGTTGTACCATCCTGTCGTTTGGTTGGAGCCTTCTGTAATGAATACAGGGTTTTCTGCCATAAGCTATTATTGTCGCGCTACTGTTCAAAGCTCTCTTGCACCAAGTCTCTCACGCCAATCCACATCATGCGTTCCCTCAGCTTCCAACGAGCCCATCCCAGCTCCCTGCGCAGCAGTCGTCCTTGCGCATTGTGCGGCGCGATGATGAGCGATAATTGCAAGCGGCTGGATGAGAGAAAGTTACTGCCGATACGGTACAGACGGGAGGCTGCTCTCCCCCCATCAAACCCTCACTCTTCCTTTCGTCGAGTCTCACACAGCTCTCGAAAATCACTTAGCTCTGGCGAGCCCCTTATTCGAGATGAGCTCCCGAACCATTATTGCGGCGCTGCCGTCCATCAGTGAGTCAGACTATGCGCAGTACGCGGCGGTTGTAGCCTGCTTGTAGCACTAGCGGGCGACCACCTTTTCCGTGCTGCGCATTTGCGCGGCGGCGCCATGCTCTTCGTTGGCGATTAGCCAGCCGTCATCTTCTGCTCACCTCGATGGCGATCAGCCAGGCATTATTGCGGCCGCGCTGCCGCCCTCTAACTCCGAGCCGGAGTTTAGCGCACCACACGGTACTAGCTTCACTGTCAGCGTGCTTACCAATAGCTCTCTCCGCATGCTGCGCGTTGTGCGCGGCGGCGCCATGCCAGCAATAACGGCGAGCTGCTGCCAGGGAGGAGTACCATCATGGTGGCGACCCACTGCAGCTCCCTCCACCACCCACCACCCACGGCGCCTACTCCTCGTTCCCTACTTAAAATCGCCTCCGTTCCACCACTCACCACCATCTGAGTTGCTTCTCTCAGTGCTCAACAATCAACCGAATCTGATCCTCATCATCGCTCGCAGTGCTACTCTCTCTAGAATCCCGCGCAACCGTCACCATGGCTACCCTTCGCTCCGTCTTCGTCCTCGCCTTGATCCTCGTCTCTCTCCCCGCACTCTATGCCGCGTCCTCGCCAAAGCGGGGCGACGATGCTGCTGGAAGCGCGGCCGTGGACGCGGCGAGGTGGGGCCGCACGCTGCTGGAAGCGAGCAGCGGCTCCGCCGCTAGCGATGCTGACGTGGACCAGGTGGGTAGCGCGGAGGAGGAGGAGGAGGTGGGGGACCAGGCCACGGACGGGCTGGACGAGGCGGTGCGGGTGCTGATTGGCGCGGATGCGTGGAAGAGCGTCGTGGAGAATATGCGGCAGGCGAAGAAGTGGAGGGCGGCGGCCGAGGCGAAGGCGGGAGGCAAGGCGAAGAATGGCGGCGTGGATGGTGTCAAGGGTGCGGCGAGCGCGCACAGCAGCGGCAAGGGCAGGAAGGGAGCAGCGGCGAAGATGAACTGGAAGAAGATCCAGGAAGAGGCGAGGAACGCCGTGGTGAGCAAGGCGGGAGGGCTGGCGAAGAAGGGCGGCATCGCTGCTGGGGGAAGCGCAGGCGTGGGCGCGGCGAGTTGGGGCCGCAAGCTGCTGGAAGCGAGCAGCGGCGCGGCTGCAAGCGGTGCTGACGCGGACCTGAACCAGCTGGACGTGCACGTGGGTGGCGAGGAGGAGGAGGTGGGGGAGGTGACGGACGGGCTGGACGAGGCGGTGCGGGTGCTGCTGAGCTGGAAGAAGATCAAGAACGCGGCGAAGAACGCGGCGAGCAAGGCAGGAGGGGTGGCGAAGAAGGTGGTGCAGAAGGGCGGCGTGGAGGCGCTCAAGGCGGCGGCCAAGGGGTACAGTAACGGCGGCATGAAGGGCGCTCTCAAGGCCGGCGGTACCTCGTTTGCTAGCACCGCGAAAAAGATGGCGGTGTGAGGCGGAGATGGGAGAGGGTTTGCGTTGCTTGGGAAGACAGTAGGGATGTGTGTGGGGTTGTGCATGTGTGTAGGGGGGTTGGGGGGGATTGGTGTCAGGGTTGGGTGGGCATGTGGAGTGTGCTGCTTTGGTCAGTCTGTGATCTCACACCACATGTATCCAATGAGTTCGATACGGGTAGGTAGATGCCGAAAATAAAAGTTTTTCTTGCCTGTCCCAGAGCGTTTGTTGCGAAAGACGTTTGAATATTTCCGCCCTGTTTTAGTTACACGATGGTACACACAAAATTGCCATGCCCCGAATCGCAAATTTTTGAATCCCTGGTGAGAAATGTGTGTTGTGATGTGGTGCTTTCTTGCTGCGTGTTTTATACTATACCAAAACATGCCCTGGTTTTGAGGACAGTATTGGCATGCATCCCTTTTAAGCCTGGCCTTTTGAGTGGTTCAGGTGTATGGCTGAGAGCTTATACGGTACCGTAGTTAAGCTGGGGCACCATCACACACAGCCCAGGTCAAGCGGAGGGTTGATGGGATGTGATCAGCTTGACCAAAGCGCTTGTACCGTATCGTAAGGCCGTCAAATACGGTACTTCGTATGGAACCACACAAGACTTGACAGGTTCATAAAGACAAATTACATTACAACACATCAAAGGCAACAGGGCTTGTAATGAAGCCAGCGAGAATCATACACGACATTATTTACAGTTGAGACGGTAAGTGAGCACCTGAACGAGCATCTTATTGATTGAGAGGACACTCATGTGACCAGTGAAACGGATCACCACAGGTGTAACACCCAGCATCGCCACCCCTCCCACCAGCACCACCACCACCACCAACACCAGCACCTTGAGTCGCCTCACTAGACCGTACAAAGCCCATGTTCTCACCAGTCGCCCCCACCACACGCCTCCCTCCCCCCTGCCCCGCTCTGCTGCTGCTTCTCCCGCCCCCACCACCCCTTCCTCTGCCGGCCCCTCCCCTCTGTGCCCCTGCACTTCCCTGCCTCCCCCTTCCACCCCTCTGCTGACCCTGGACGCTGGTTCGGCCGGACCTGGTACTTCCACCTGCTGCCGAACCTCGGCCTTGGATCCCTCTCCCCGAGCCTGCAGCCGAGGCTCGGCCCGAGCCATGGGCTGTCCGTGGTGGTGCTGCTGCTGAAGCAGAGGTGGCAGGGGGGTTTCGGAAGGGAGGGGCGGAGGAGGGGCGAGCACCGGCGAATGGTGGTGCGTGTGATGGTGGGGGAGCGGGAGGGCGGGGGTGAGAGGCGACGGAGGGGCGGGATGAACCGCAAGCTTCTAGAAGGTCCTTGAAGCCTGGGTTGCAGATGATGCACACTGTAAAGGGGATGGCGGGCAGGGTGATACAGAGGCGGGGTACGAGCGAGTTAATGCGTTCATTCGCTAAACATTAGATTGATTGGGTAATGAAGTTCCAAACACTCTAAAAAACAACACCAGCTGGTTGGAAAGAACAGGAAGGCAGTCCCAACTGAAAGGGCGGAATTTCCAGTTGGTGAGTTGGAGAATTTCGGTGATCACTTTTGCATGAGGCTAGCATGGAGTCTCTCACATCCAACCCATCAAAAATTGATTCTACAAACAAAATCTGAAAATAAATAAACGAGAGGTATATGCATTGATTTAACCACATGATTGCCGTTATTCACATTCCAGGGACAGACATGGATGTAGGTTACATGAGTTCTGTTTTTTCCTCCCACGTGCGGGTCCCCATCATGCCACAGCTCCTACTAACCTTACCTGCGTGCTTACGCACTCCACCACCCCCTTATTGCTCACACCACAACCCTCACTTCACTCACACCACCACCCTCACTTCACTCACACCACCACCTTCACCTCCTTCCTGTATAGCTTTAAAGTGCCAGCTGAATAAATCTAACTGACTGGTAACTGACTGCTAACCGACTGGTAACTCACTGCTAACCGACTGGTAACTGACTGATAACCAATTGTTAGCTTATCCACACCACCCCCCTCAACACCACCTCCCTCACACCACCTCCCCCACACCACCCCCCTCACACCACCTCCCTCACACCACCCCCCTCAACACCACCTCCCTCACACCACCTCCCCCACACCACCTCCCTCACACCACCTCCCTCACACCACCTCCCCCATACCACCTCCCTCACACCACCTCCCTCACACCTCCCCCCTCACCTGCGTGCTGCACGGGGTCAAACTGGGGCGGGATCTCAGATCGGCGGAAGCGCAGGTTCAGGCACGCGAGGGGGCCTGCGGTTGGAGAGTTGAAAAGCGATGGGGGAGTGTGGGAAATGGATGATAGAGATTTCTGAGGGGATGGAGAGTTGTTTATTCCCCTGCTGATCGTCCACAGTGCAAGCTGGGGGATCAGCAGGGGCTGGATGGGATGGGAGAGCCAGCAGTGAGACACATGCACGGAATTCCCTACGAATCTGTAGGTTTGATGCACACGGGGGCGAAAGGGAGGGCGGGAGGCTGCGGGTTGGAGCTTGGAAGGAAGGGGACAGGGAGAGGGGATGGTGTGGATAAAACGAAGATGCTACAGTCACTTAGTAATGGTGAGGTGAATTGCATGGATGGCAGTTTGCAACATTACCTGGGCGGCAGTTGGCAGTTTGCAACATTACCTGGGCGGCAGTTGGGGCAGTGTGAGTCAGCAAGAGTGGCCTCGACCAAAGCAGATGGCATCCATACAGCCTCTCGGCACTGTGAGAAGAAGCATGGGTAGAGGTGGGAGTGAGGGGTAGAGGTGGGAGTGAGGGGTAGAGGTGGGAGTGAGGGGTAGAGGTGGGAGTGAGGGGTAGAGGTGGGAGTGATGGGGGTAGAGGTGGGAGTGATGGGGGTAGAGTTAGGAGAGGGAGGTAAAGGGGAGCGGAAGCGGGGGTTAAGGGGGGAAAAGGTGGTTAGACCAGGTTAATACATAAGTCATGGAGGTTTCGTTCTCGAGTGAATGCAGCACGATGTAACGACACAAAACATCCTCTTGCCAGAATACTATCCTCTCGCATCCTGCATGTATCCCAGACCTGGTTTAAGTGACCAGTTACAAACCTAGTTGGGGTTGGGAATCAAACCTTGGTTCAATAATCTGGCCCTCACAATTAGGCTGGAAGATAAGGATGAGGCCAAAACGACTTGGTTCACCATTGATCAAGACAAATGTTGCCCCCGCCTGGACATTTCCCAACCCAACTTATTGGTTCTGCAAAAAAAAGGAAGACCAAGTCTCAATAGGCTCCCTTTCTTACTCCCAACCATGTATACCCCCATTCTATTAAAAACAAATCAGCAGTTCTTCCTCACGTTCTTGGTTTCTGCACCTCTAACAAGCACCAGCCAGCAGAAGCTTTTCAGAGAAGAGAGGCAAGGGGAGTGGGTGGTGGGAGCTCACAAGAGGGAAGCCGGAGCATCCAGCCATGAAGCTGCCGCCCTGATTGCACATGGGAGCATGGGGGGAGCATGGCACGAGTATGGGGGATGGAGGATGGAGAGAGATGTGAGATGAAGGAAGAAAATGTGGAGATGTGGAGAAAATGTGAAGGAGCTGAGATGTGGAACAACACGTGGAAGTGAAAGCCTAGAATTTACGCACTCACAGAAGCACACGTCTGTAGGCCCTGGTGTCAGGCTGGTCTACCAAGATATCGAGTGCTGCTTGAGAAGAACACTTGGGGAACAAGGTCGGCGCACAACCGACCCGACTCATTCTCCGGCCGCTGCTTGAGAACCAGGTGGCTTTTGAGTCGACTCAAAGGTAGAACTCACCGGTCGTTGCTTGAGAACAAGGTGCGAAGTGCGGCACTTGGGGCAAGGTCCCATCGCCCCCACCACCTGCCCCCCTCCCTCACACACTGGTCGCTGCTTGAGCACTAGGTGGCACTTGAGTCGACTCAAAGGTAAAACTCACCGGTCGCTGTTTCAACACCAGGTGGGAAGTGCGGCAATTGGGACATGGCCCCATGGCCCCCACCACCTGGCCCCCTCCTCCTCCCCCTCCTCCACCCCCTCCTCCCCCTCCGCCGTGTCCTCCCCCTCCATCCGCTGCTGGATTGGTTCTGTGGGAGTGCAGAATGGGGAGCAGAGTGGTGATAACAAGGTGTGAGTGAACAACCATAACAGGCTGAGGGATTCAAGAGAAACTCAAGCGATTGGACAACAAAATAAGAGGCTCTCGTGGGATTGGGGCTCACGTGTCAAAGGTCCGACTAGGGAGATGCCTCAAAGGTCACTCCAGACACACAATGACTAAGGAACATGAAGAGAAGCGTTTGAAAGCATGATTTGGTGGGCTTGAAGGACTTACCTGTCAAAGAAGAGTGCCAGCGCATCAATCAGCTTCTGCTGCTGCTCCCTTGCCTGCAGGAAAATCGTGAAGGAGGAAATCCAGAGCAGGGGAGACGCACTGAGGTTCGTGATGCGAGATGGGAAGGAATGAGGGAAAAGAGAGCTAGCGTGATGGAAAGGGAGAGATAGTGCTATACAAATCACTCAGAAACCGCTCAGAAATCACTCAGAAACCGCTCAGAAATCACTCAGAAATCACTCATTCACTCAGAAATCACTCAGAAATCACTCAGAAATCACTCAGAAACCAGCGCTTCGGGGCAACTCAGAAATCACTCACATCCATGAACGCTGCTTTGGTCGCCCGGAGCGTGTCTGCCAGCACTTGAGCCTTGCTCTTGCGCCCCTCACTGACCAGCCGCATGTCCCTCTCCATCAACGCTCTCAGGTGCGGCTTCCACAGCTCGTACCCCATCTGGTCGTACCCCAGTACCAGCGCCTCGCCCTGCATGAAGGGTCACACAGGAACGGGATGGTAGGCATGTGGAGATGCACACACACAGCTCGTACCCCATGTTGTCGTATCCCAGTACTAGCGCCTCGCCCTGTGATAGGCAATAGAAAGTGGAAGAAGTGGGGATTTATGGGATCAGTCAGCAAGCAGGTGAGGCTTTCACAGCTCTTACCCCATCTGGTCGTACCCTAGTACTAGCGCCTCGCCCTGTGTTGGGCAATAGAGACGGAATGGAAATGGATGCAAACAGGCCAAAGGCAAGTGGAAACACAAGCAGACAGCTCAAACCCCACCACGGGAACCTTGCAGAGCAGCAAACAATAGGAAAAAAGAAGGAACGGAAAGCAATATGAAATCATGAGTCGACCCAAAAGCACCACCATACTACAAGCTCTTCATCTCTAGCACCAACTCACGAGCGGCGTGGGTTTGAAGCGGATGTTGGCGTCCTTGGTGGCGTAGCAGCGGTCCAGCAGCTTCTTAATGTGGTCATGCATCGTGGCGTCCGTTCCGATGCCCGCCTGCCATTGGGTTGAACGCATGGGTGGTACAGTACAAGTAGTGGGTGGTGGATGGAACGAGAGTAGACAGTACAGCCCCCAGGTACACCACAGCAGCTTCTTGATGTGGTCATGCATCGCGCCGTCTGTTCCAATGCCCGCCTGCCACGAGGGGGTTCGGGGGTTGCCACAGCTTGCTCCAGTTACATGGTGCATGGGTGCATGGGTGCATGGAATCAGATCAGAGCAACAGGAGCAGCGGTCCAGCACCTTCTTGATGTGGCCATGCATCGTGGCGTCTGTTCCGATGCCCGCCTGCCATTGGGGCGCGCGGGTGACATGGGTGTAGGGTTGAGCAAAGGGCGAATGCGAACATGTTCGCGTTCACCCTTGCACGAACATGGCAGTTAGGCGAACCGAACACTGTTCGGTTCGCCGAACGACTTCCCCAGAAAAGGGCGTTCGGCGTTCGCCTGTGAAGGCGTGTTCGGGCGAACCTCGAACACGTTCGGGCGAACAATTTAACCTGAAAAACAAAACCTGTTCAGTTCGCCTCGAACACGTTCGTGGCGAACCGAACAGGTGTTCGTTTCTTTGCTCATCCCTACATGGGTGCCAGCTCAGTTACTTAGGCGCATGGCATCAGCGCAACAAGAGCAGCGGTCCAGCAGCTCCGCCCGCCCGCCCGCCCGCCCGCCCGCCCGCCCGCCCACCCGTCCACCCACCCACCCACACTCCCGCCCACCTACCTACCCACCCACCCAGCCGCCCACCCACCTTATCCATCAGCCCCAGCAGGTCAGCTTCGGAGAGAAGCGGCGGAGGTTCGGTGCGCCCGGACCTGAGCTCGAGGTCCGTGGGGGTGAACTGCTGGCCGGTCTGGAAGGCCGGCAGCGTGTGTGCGCCCCAGGAGTCGTAGCGGTACACGTCCAGGTAGTTGCGCTGGGGGGGAGATAAGGGCAAGGGTTTAGGATTTACGGTTTAGGGTTATGAATGCGTGTGGTCTGAGCGCTATGTGTCGACGCATCACTTGCTTGTGTGGGGGGGGGGAGGAGGGAAGGGGTGAAGGGAAAAGAACACGGGATCGGATCAAAGGAAGTTCCTCAGATTCGTAGCAGAAAACGTCCATTCCAGGTAGTTGCGCTGGTGGCGGGGGGAGAGGGGCGTGAGGAGGGGAGGAGGGGTGGAGTAGGAACAAGGGATAGGATCACAGGGGTGCCCCAGGAGTCGTAGCGGTACACGTTCAGGTAGTTGCGCTGGGGGGGGGGGGGGGGGAGGGGAGAAGGGGAGGAGGGGAGGAGGGGGTTATGAATGCGTGTGCTGCTATGCGTCGCCTTGGCACTTGACTTGCTTGTGTGTTCCCCCCAGGAGTCCTAGCGGTAGACGTCCAGGTAGTTGCGCTTAGGTGGGGGAGGGGAGGAGAGGACGAGGTGATGAATGGGATGTGGTGCTGTGCCTCATCTCAGAGAGGAAGGTGGTGACTGCTTTGTGCGCGTCCCAGGAGATTCGAGTCGTCTCGGAACCTGTCTTGTGTGCACGCACCAGGAGGTTTACTGACTACCACCACAGCCAGTTGCACTGGGAAGGGAGGGAGAAGGAAAACCATGCACCTGAAAATACAGGAGATTCGAGAGACGAAGGAAAGATGTGTGAGAAGAATTAACGAGGGGACATCTACAAGGCAATGCCATGGGGAAATTTGCAGAAAAGGGTAGGGGAAAATACATATTTTGTGTGCTTTGACTCCCGGCCACAAACATCATCAACCTTAGCGTCACTGGCAGCTCACCGCTGTGATCATGAGCCCGCGTGCACTGAACGCCTCCCCTGCGACATCAACGGTCACGATCGTCTCAAAGCCCACAGCTGGCTGCGATACCGTTGCCAGGAAGTGGCGCACCACCAGCTCGTACAGGCGCTGAGTGGGGGTGAGGGGGGGAGGGGGAGGGGGAGGGGGGGAGGGGGAGGGGGAAAGGGGAGGGAAGTTGTGCTGTGAGGTGAAGGTGCTGCTGGCTGCGATTCCGTTGCTGGAAAGTGGCGAACCACGAGCTCGTACAGGCGATGAGTGGAGGGGAGAGGGGAGAGGGGAGAGGGGAGAGGGGAGAGGGGAGAGGGGAGAGGGGAGAGGGGGGAGTGGAGAGTGGAGAGGGGAGAGGGGAGAGGGGAGAGGGGAGAGGGGAGAGGGGAGAGGGGAGAGGGGAGAGGGGAGAGGGGAGAGGGGAGAGGGGAGAGGGGAGAGGGGAGAGGGGAGAGGGGAGAGGGGAGATTGTGGTGCTGGAGGGACATTGTGTGGGTGCTGGTGGTGCTGCTGTGTGGGACATTGCATTGGAGCAACAATGAGTGGAAGGGAAGGGAATGGGGAGCGAACAAAGGGCGAGAAGGAAACGTTCTAAGACACCTCCTCAACAGCATGCCAGATGATGTTGGTAGCTGCTGCTGGCACAGTGAGACTGGCACTAGAAGCCGTGCCATCAACGATGCAGGTTGGTAGATGGTGAGAGAGCAGGCACTCGACAGAAGAAAACATACAAACTTGTGATAATTCTTTTTACACACTGTACTGTACTCAAGCTGTGATCACAAGCTGTGATCACAAGCTGTGATCACAAGCTGTGATCACGAACGACACGAGGACTCTCTCTCTCCAGTTGGCTCGCCAATCTTCCTCCATTGAGGCTCGTCACATCTGACATAGCATGCCTTCAACTCCGCCATCCCACCCACCACACCTACCTTGTGATTCGGGATCCAGTTGTGTTGGCCATGCACCGGCGCCCTCATGGGGTGGATGGAAGGGTGCGCCTTGAGGCTGTCAACAATGCTAGGCATGCCATGCGTACTTCATCACATCACACCCCTACACCACACCACACCACACCACACCACACTACCTTGTGATCTGAACTCCAGTTGGGCTCGCCATGTGGTGACGCCCTGGTGGGGTGGATGGGGGGATGCGCCTTGTCATCATGCCCGCCGCTGCCAGGTGTCCTCCACAGATTGGCTGCTGGGTCCAGCAGCCGCTGCGCATAGTCGCCCCATGCGCTGTTGCTGGCCTGATCCGATACCAGGGCCTACAGAGGGGTGTGGAGATGGGGACAGAGGGGTTTCAGGTCTGAAGATGGTCCAGCAACCGCTGTGCGTACTCGCCCCATGCACTGTTGCTGGCCTGGTCCGATACGAGGGCCTGAAGGGGGATGTGTGGGGACCACCGGAGGGGGGTTGAATCGATGGAGGATGGGGGGAGGAAGCTGGGTGGAAAAGGGAAGGAGGGGTTTCAGGTCTACAGAGGGTCCAGCAGCCGCTGTGCGTAGTCACCCCACGCGCTGTTGCTGGCCTGTTCTGATGCCAGGAACTACGGTGGGTTGGGGATATGGGGGATGGGGAAAGGAGGGGATTCAGCTCTTTCTTGCAAGTCGAGTAACATAGATGTTTGTTTCAACCAAGGTTGACTCATAAACGGGAATCTGCCAAAGTTCGGGCTGGCTCAGATCTGCAAAACCCCAAAGCACTCCCACCCATGTCATGTATCACTTATGACATTGATTGCAAAACAGAAGAAGTAGAAGAAGAAGAAAAAAATATATCTCAATGTCTGTCATACCAAATCGTCAGCTGAGCATCCCATGCAGACAACTACCCAAGAGGTCCTCACGTTCGCTGGTGAGTGAAAACACCTATGCACCGAATCCACAATTTCGCACTGGAATGAATCCGAGACTCGGAACAGTGTGGCTCAACTGGCCTTGACCCGAGTCGAGTCAGTGATGTGTTGTCAATATTTACTTGAGCGTGTGACGAGTCATGTGAAAGAAATATCACTATGATAAGAATGACTCAAATCAACCTGCAATGGAATGGACTCAAACCGGCGATTTACAACCGCTTGTTTGTGCTTATATCGTATGTGGCTGAACGAATGCACATACCTGGAGGTCCATGGAGGGAGGAAAGCTGTCAGTCTCGGTGCGAGGATAGCTCATAAAGCCCTGCTGGTACAGCTCCTCTGCTATCTGCACGGGACAGGGGGCAATGGGAAGGATGGAATTTGTCACAAGGAGAATAGTCTCGGTGCGAGGATAGCTCATAAAGCCCTGCTGGTACAGCTCCTCTGCTATCTGCACGGGACAGGGGGCAATGGGAAGGATGGAATTTGTCACAAGGAGAATAGTCTCGGTGCGAGGATAGCTCATAAAGCCCTGCTGGTACAGCTCCTCTGCTATCTGCACGGGACAGGGGGCAATGGGAAGGATGGAATTTGTCACAAGGAGAATAGTCTCGGTGCGAGGATAGCTCATAAAGCCCTGCTGGTACAGCTCCTCTGCTATCTGCACGGGACAGGGGGCAATGGGAAGGATGGAATTTGTCACAAGGAGAATAGTCTCGGTGCGAGGATAGCTCATAAAGCCCTGCTGGTACAGCTCCTCTGCTATCTGCACGGGACAGGGGGCAATGGGAAGGATGGAATTTGTCACAAGGAGAATAGTCTCGGTGCGAGGATAGCTCATAAAGCCCTGCTGGTACAGCTCCTCTGCTATCTGCACGGGACAGGGGGCAATGGGAAGGATGGAATTTGTCACAAGGAGAATAGTCTCGGTGCGAGGATAGCTCATAAAGCCCTGCTGGTACAGCTCCTCTGCTATCTGCACGGGACAGGGGGCAATGGGAAGGATGGAATTTGTCACAAGGAGAATAGTCTCGGTGCGAGGATAGCTCATAAAGCCCTGCTGGTACAGCTCCTCTGCTATCTGCACGGGACAGGGGGCAATGGGAAGGATGGAATTTGTCACAAGGAGAATAGTCTCGGTGCGAGGATAGCTCATAAAGCCCTGCTGGTACAGCTCCTCTGCTATCTGCACGGGACAGGGGGCAATGGGAAGGATGGAATTTGTCACAAGGAGAATAGTCTCGGTGCGAGGATAGCTCATAAAGCCCTGCTGGTACAGCTCCTCTGCTATCTGCACGGGACAGGGGGCAATGGGAAGGATGGAATTTGTCACAAGGAGAATAGTCTCGGTGCGAGGATAGCTCATAAAGCCCTGCTGGTACAGCTCCTCTGCTATCTGCATGGGACAGGGGGCAATGGGAAGGATGGAATTTGTCACAAGGAGAATAGTCTCGGTGCGAGGATAGCTCATAAAGCCCTGCTGGTACAGCTCCTCTGCTATCTGCACGGGACAGGGGGCAATGGGAAGGATGGAATTTGTCACAAGGAGAATAGTCTCGGTGCGAGGATAGCTCATAAAGCCCTGCTGGTACAGCTCCTCTGCTATCTGCACGGGACAGGGGGCAATGGGAAGGATGGAATTTGTCACAAGGAGAATAGTCTCGGTGCGAGGATAGCTCATAAAGCCCTGCTGGTACAGCTCCTCTGCTATCTGCACGGGACAGGGGGCAATGGGAAGGATGGAATTTGTCACAAGGAGAATAGTCTCGGTGCGAGGATAGCTCATAAAGCCCTGCTGGTACAGCTCCTCTGCTATCTGCACGGGACAGGGGGCAATGGGAAGGATGGAATTTGTCACAAGGAGAATAGTCTCGGTGCGAGGATAGCTCATAAAGCCCTGCTGGTACAGCTCCTCTGCTATCTGCACGGGACAGGGGGCAATGGGAAGGATGGAATTTGTCACAAGGAGAATAGTCTCGGTGCGAGGATAGCTCATAAAGCCCTGCTGGTACAGCTCCTCTGCTATCTGCACGGGACAGGGGGCAATGGGAAGGATGGAATTTGTCACAAGGAGAATAGTCTCGGTGCGAGGATAGCTCATAAAGCCCTGCTGGTACAGCTCCTCTGCTATCTGCACGGGACAGGGGGCAATGGGAAGGATGGAATTTGTCACAAGGAGAATAGTCTCGGTGCGAGGATAGCTCATAAAGCCCTGCTGGTACAGCTCCTCTGCTATCTGCACGGGACAGGGGGCAATGGGAAGGATGGAATTTGTCACAAGGAGAATAGTCTCGGTGCGAGGATAGCTCATAAAGCCCTGCTGGTACAGCTCCTCTGCTATCTGCACGGGACAGGGGGCAATGGGAAGGATGGAATTTGTCACAAGGAGAATAGTCTCGGTGCGAGGATAGCTCATAAAGCCCTGCTGGTACAGCTCCTCTGCTATCTGCATGCATCAGGGTTGATGAGAAAGGACAGATTAAGGAGTTTGTGTGAATTGCTGTTGCCTAGAAGCAGAGTAAGGAAGAAGGGCAAAGAGTATAACTTTTCTACTACCTAGAGAGAATATAAGCAAAGGGTTAGGTGCAATGGGAAAATGGAGTTGAACATGAGACGGGGGAGGGGCAGAAAGAAGAGTACAACCACGAAAGGTCAAATATCCACATGACATCCAATCAGTGTTCACCTTCATGGTGTGCTCTGATGCCATACGAAGGAACCTCGAGGCTCGCTTCTGCAGCTCCACTGTGTTGAGTGGGAAGGGCGGGAACTTGCGCCGCTCACTGCCTGACACGTCCGTCACCTGCCAAGGTGGGGGCAGTGGGTGATATAAAGGGCAGCGGTGGTGGTGGTGGTGAGGTGGAATCAATTAAAAGGGGGGCGTCGATGGAAAAGATAAAGGGCAGCAGCGGTGACAAATGTGATTAAAAGGGGGAGCGGTGGTGGTGAGGTGGAATCGAATGCTCACAGTGGCAATGGGGTTGTCGATGCACATCTCAAAGAGCGTTGCAGCAATGTGGTGGTCGAACAGACGGCCTCTCCTGCCAGAATAACCACCGCACACAGAGCAGCACTGAACGGTGTGAGTAGAGTAGGTAGAAATTGGAAACGGGGATGGATGCAGTAATGGTGTTTTCTAAATTAGGGTCAAGGTGGTGGCAATGGGAATGCGGTCCTGCTGAAAAAAGGGAGAAGCAATCAGCAATGGGTTACCCCCGGAAGAAACCCCACCAACCGCCTAGCTCGTGGAAGGGAGTTGGAGGAAAAAACACGACTGGAGTTTTTTTTCACGAACGGGAGTGAGAACTAGGAGTAAGCACGGATCGAATGATCAGACTCCTGTCTCACGGATCGAGTGAGACAGGCACTTGAGATTGAAAATGCGAGAATGGAGACGAGAGCAGGGTGTGCGAGGTGGTGGGGCATGGAAGATCTAGAAGGGTCTCTCGTCTTTTTTTTTTGCAAGCATATGGGTATGTTCCTGCCTGCCTCATATGAAGCCACCATGTGTCAGCAAATTTGCGGTAAGGATATCAACACATGAGCGTACATGGTATGGTGCGTACATAGATATGATAAGCCATAGATCTCCTGACACGAGTTGGCTTGATGAAATGGCTCAGGAACATTACACAAAGTAACATGTCCGATACGTCAACATCCGACACAAAGGGTGTTGTGATTCGGGGTCAGGCTTACTGCCAGGAGAAGTCAGCGGAGGTGGCGGGGGGCGGCGAGTGCTGCACATATCGGCAGTGGATGGCCCAGAAGGGCTCCTCCACGTGTGCCAGTATGTCCCAATAACGCTCCACCACGAAGCCCAATGTGGGGAACTGGCGGATGGGGAGAGGATGGACGGACCGGGAGGGCAGATAAGATTGAGGAAAAGAAAGAAGGGTTCCTTCACGTGTGGTAATACATCCCAATAGCGCTCCACCACGAAGCCGAGCGTGGGGAACTGGCGGATGGCGGAGGGAGGACAGGGATCGGGAGGGGGGCGAGAGGGAAGAGAGCGATGATGAGATTTTGAGAAAGATGCAGAAAGAATGAGGAGAGAAGGAGGGCTCCTTTTGAGTCGACTCAAAAGAATGAGGAGAGAAGGAGGGCTCCTTTTGAGTCGACTCAAAAGAATGAGGAGAGAAGGAGGGCTCCTTTTGAGTCGACTCAAAAGAATGAGGAGAGAAGGAGGGCTCCTTTTGAGTCGACTCAAAAGAATGAGGAGAGAAGGAGGGCTCCTTTTGAGTCGACTCAAAAGAATGAGGAGAGAAGGAGGGCTCCTTTTGAGTCGACTCAAAAGAATGAGGAGAGAAGGAGGGCTCCTTTTGAGTCGACTCAAAAGAATGAGGAGAGAAGGAGGGCTCCTTTTGAGTCGACTCAAAAGAATGAGGAGAGAAGGAGGGCTCCTTTTGAGTCGACTCAAAAGAATGAGGAGAGAAGGAGGGCTCCTTTTGAGTCGACTCAAAAGAATGAGGAGAGAAGGAGGGCTCCTTTTGAGTCGACTCAAAAGAATGAGGAGAGAAGGAGGGCTCCTTTTGAGTCGACTCAAAAGAATGAGGAGAGAAGGAGGGCTCCTTTTGAGTCGACTCAAAAGAATGAGGAGAGAAGGAGGGCTCCTTTTGAGTCGACTCAAAAGAATGAGGAGAGAAGGAGGGCTCCTTTTGAGTCGACTCAAAAGAATGAGGAGAGAAGGAGGGCTCCTTTTGAGTCGACTCAAAAGAATGAGGAGAGAAGGAGGGCTCCTTTTGAGTCGACTCAAAAGAATGAGGAGAGAAGGAGGGCTCCTTTTGAGTCGACTCAAAAGAATGAGGAGAGAAGGAGGGCTCCTTTTGAGTCGACTCAAAAGAATGAGGAGAGAAGGAGGGCTCCTTTTGAGTCGACTCAAAAGAATGAGGAGAGAAGGAGGGCTCCTTTTGAGTCGACTCAAAAGAATGAGGAGAGAAGGAGGGCTCCTTTTGAGTCGACTCAAAAGAATGAGGAGAGAAGGAGGGCTCCTTTTGAGTCGACTCAAAAGAATGAGGAGAGAAGGAGGGCTCCTTTTGAGTCGACTCAAAAGAACGAGGAGAGAAGGAGGGCTCCTCCGCGTTTGCCAGCACAGCATGTCCCAATCGCACTCCACCACGAAGCCCAGCGTGGGGAACTGGCGGGTGGAGGAGGGAATGGAGGGAGGCGAGGGAAGAGGCAGGGGGGATGAGGTGTTGGCAAGCAGGGCTCCTCCACGTGTGCAAGCACAGCACGTCTCAAGAGCACCGCACCGCACTCCACCACGAAGCCCAGCGTGGAGGAGAACTGGTGGGTGGCGGGGTAGGGGAGGCATTGCTGAACAGAACATGGTGGCGCTGAGTGTTCCTGCAGCCAACCCCAGCATGCATGGCATGGCCCCCGTCACTGCTGGCAGGCTCGCTCACGGTCAACGTAGGGGGACGGCAGACAGCACAACTGGCAGCCTCGTGTGATCAAAACTGAGTACCAACACCCAGGGTCCCAACTGCCCGGAACCCAACATTCCGGATCCCACCACAACTGGCAGCCTCAACTAATCAACTCATTATCTCACAACACCCTGGCTTCACCTGTCCAGGTCCCACCTGGCAGGGTCCGTAGCTGATGACAGGCTTGCGGTCGGCAGAGGGGGAGGGCAGGTCGAAGCGGTTCTGCAGCAGCATGGTCTGGAAGCGCGTGAAGGAGGCCCCTATGCGCAGATCGATCTCCTGGCAGAGACGGGCGTGGGGGTGAGGGTGTGGATGCGTGAGTAAGTGATTTTGTGCATGTGGGTGGCTAAATGTACGGGTGAGTGTGGGTGGGCGTGCGGGAAAATGAGGGTGTGACTCCGGAGTCGGGTCAAAAGCGGTTCTGCAGCAGCATGGTTTGGAAGCGCGTAAAGGATGGCCCCATGCGCAGATCTATCTCCTGACAGGGGTGTGCGTGTGTAGGTAAGTATGTGGGTGTGTATGTGGTGAGTGTGTACAGTGTAGTGGGGAATCGGTGGGGAGAAACAGGGAGGCGGAGGTGGGAAAGCACAAAGAGGGGTTGGGCGAAAAAGATTGAAGGAACGAGGGAAGATACAAGATAAGACGGACTGGGGTAGGTGAACAACAATGCTTTCTCATGCCTTCCCCACTCCCCACTTGCTTCCCCGCTCCCCCCCAACCTCCTTCGCTCTTCATTCTCACAACTACTCTTGCACATTTGTCCATGCCTGCAACACCACCAGATGCCGCCCATCAACAACTACCTGCCAACACACGCCGACCATCCACTACCTGCCGCGCATCAACAGCGTCTGCGAAGTTGGAGTTGGGGCGGCCCAAGTTCTGAGCCGCGTGATGGATGTCTCTGATTGGACGACAGGGTGCCACGTGGCAGAAGAGGGTTGGTCGAAACAGCAACAAGAGTGAAAGGCGGCGACGCGCCAAGGAACGAAGAATAAGCAAGCAGACAGGCTTGGCTTGAGGGGCAACGAGTTGTTGACTTGTAAACGTCTTTGAGTTCATGCAGCTTGACTCATAGCAACGAGCACAACATTGTGGTCCCCACAACCGTTTCTCATAGGAATGAATGAAGCATACAAGCCTTCACAAGCGATGCGTGGGGGAAGAGGCTTGAGTGAGTAGTGCACCTGTCAACCAGGGCTGAGAAGTGCGCTCGAAAGACAGCCAGGCGCGAATTAGCAGACAAGCACACCTGCACTCATGCAAACCACTGAATTGGTTGTGGTCACTTTCTAGAAATCGCAAAAAACATCATTTGCAGGCAAACCATTCTAGGAGGCTGAGAGGTGAAGACAACAAGCAAAGAGTGAAGATAGCAAGCAAGACAAATCACAAAGACGTGATATCACCACTAAGGCCCACCTGCATGACCTTATATGCAATGTTCTCGCCCTCGCGGTCGCAGTCCAGCCACAACACACTGGTCGCTGCGCCTCAAATGGGGAGAGCAGTGAGCAAGCACAAAAGACGACAAGGTTTTAAGGCCTAAGGTACAAAGGACAAGGCCCAGGACCCACCTGCATGACCTCGTATGCAATGTTCTCGCCCTCCCTGTCACAGTCCAGCCACAACACCAGCTGGTCGCTGCGCCTTGCCTCCTCCCTCAACGTCACCTCCAGTGCTGCCTTGTCCTACAGATGAATGGGGGAACGGGATGGTGGAGGGGGATGGCAGGTGACGATGGAAACTTGGAAGACAAGGCAACACCTCCACTGCCATCTTGTCCTGCAGAGCAGTGATGGGAGGCGATGCGAAGATGTGGAGAGGACACACAGGAATGAGAATATGGGTAAGGAAGGGGGGGTTGGCGAATGGAGGAGAAGGTGCTCCCGGAATGGGGTCTGAAGGCTTGACACTTGGTGCTTGTTGCTCCGGTTAAACCAAAAAACAGTTCCGTTAGCAGCACGTGAATGCATTGGAAGCACATGCACGCACAGAAGCACATGCTCGCACAGAAGTGGCCGCACATATTCTACATGTGGCTTCATTGTACGTAAAACCGTTAGATCTTCTTCCATGTGCAGAGCTACATCGAAGGCGACTCACGGGTGTTAATGCTGCTCACCGTTTCGCCCGACGTCTCAAACGCTGGAGAAGCATTCCGAGCACTAGAATTTGGTGCAAATGTCAACATGTGCGAGCTTGGTCCTGCCAGGCGAGATGTTCGGCAGAAAGCCTTTCTGTGTGGATATGGCATTTCGCCGTCAGATCTGTGTGGATCTGACATTCCGCCGTCAGATATGCGCGGATCTGACATTTCACCGTCAGATCTGCGCAGATATGGCATTTCGCCATCAGATCTGCTCGGATATGACATTTCGCAATCAGATGTGCGCGGATATGGCATTTCGCCGTCAGATCTGATGGCAGTAGGGTGGAGGGGGGGAACGGGTGCCACGATTTGAGTTTTAACCCGTGTGATTTCCACACGCGGATGCTGTGGGACTAAAACGAGATGAGCCTAAAAAACGAACACGAACATGTTCGCCCCAAACATGTTCGTGTTCGGGCCAAACACCTTGTGTTCGCCATCAATGTAGCTGTGCACATGGAAGAAGATCAAACGGTTCTATGTACAATGAAGAAACATCTAGATTACAATGAAACCACATCTAGATTTCATACGGCCGTGTGTACCCTCCCACCTCACCTAGGGTTGAGCAAAGAGCGAACACGAACATGTTCGTGTTCGCCCGAGGTCGAATACTCATGTTCAGCGAACCGAACATGTTCGTGTTCGCCGAACACCTCCAACGAAAAAGGGTGTTCGGTGTTCGCCTTCACATGCGAACATGTTAGTGTTCGTTTTTTAGTCATTTCGTTTTAGTCCCACAGCATCCCCGTGTGGAAATCACAAGGGTTAAAACTCAAATCGTGGCACCCGTTCCCCCCCCCCCCCACCCTCCTGCCATCAGATCTGACGGCGAAATGCCATATCCGCGCACATCTGATTGCGAAATGCCATATCCGCGCAGATCTGACGGCGAAATGTCAGATCCACACAGATATGACGGCGAAATGCCATATCCGCGCAGATTTGATGGCGAAATGACATATTCGCGCAAATCTGATGGCGAAATGCCATATCCGCGCAGACCTGACGGCGAAATGTCAGATCCACACAGATATGGCGGCGAAATGCCATATCCGCGCAGATTTGATGGCGAAATGCCATATCCGCGCAGACCTGACGGCGAAAATGGCCTTTGGCGCCTTCAATCAGAGGAAACTCGCGACGAACACATTTGTGTCCGTCGCTGCTGGAAAACGAACACGAACAGGTTCGTGTTCGACGCGGCTCGGCCTGCCGCGACGAACCGAACACGAACATGTTCGGGCGAACACGAACTGTTCGCCACGAACAATTTAGGCAAAAAAAAAAGAACACGTTCGAGGCGAACCGAACAGGTGTTCGTCTTGGTGCTCAAGCCTACTCCCACCTGGAGTGGTATGGCCTTGTACCCTCCCACCTGGGGTTATACAGCGTTACACCCTCCCCCACGGGGGTTGTACGTCCTTGTACCCTCCCACCTGCGGTATGGCCTTGTAGACAGGCAGCTCCAGGGAGTAGCTGGTGTGGCACTTCCTGAAGGGCATTCCATACCATCCATCCCTGGGGTTAACATGTTAGCCAGCCAGACCCTCCCATCCCACCTGCGGTATGGCCTTGTGCACGGGCGCGTCGAAGAGCTGCAGGGGGTCGCAGGCGTGCCACTTCCTGAAAGCATCCCGTTCATTGTACTAACAGGAAACAATCAACCAACAAACCCAACCCTCCCACCTGCAGTATGGCCTTGCCCCCTCCCACGTCACCTGAGGTATGGTCTTGTAGACCGGAGCGTCAAAGAGCTGCAGGGGGTCGCAGGCGTGCCACTTCCTGAAGGGGTCCTGAAAGTCCATCTCCATCAGATGGCCCGTCACTGACGTCATCGCCATGTCACATGGCTGCCCGTTCATCGTGTAGCTGTGTAGAGGGGTAGGAGGGGGAGGGGGAGGGAGAGGGGGAGGGGGGAGGGGAAGCGGGAGCTATCCTGAAAGTCCATCTCCATTAAATGCCCTGTTACTGACGTCATCGCCATGTCACACGGCTGGTTGTTCATCATGTAGCTGATGGGTAGAAAGGGGCAGGAGCGGGAGGGGGACGTTGAGGGGGCGGGGAGGGGGAGGGGGAGGAGGAGGTGGGGAGAAGGGAGGGGGAGCTACCCTGAAAGTCCATCTCCATTAAATGCCCCGTCACTGCCGTGCCGTGTCGCACGCCCTGGTTGCTCATCGTGTAGCTGATTGGGGAGAGACAGGAGGGGGAGGGGGAGGGGGAGAGGGGCCAGGGTAGAATTCCAGCATTAGCCTGTCATGTCATCGCATCGCCATGTCGTACGGTTACCACTTGAGCTCCTCCTTTACGCATTTAGCTTATCAGCCACAAACAAGCAGCCATGTGACAACGGCCATGACGTCAGCCATGTGACAAAGCCAGCACCATTTCTTCCTTATGCTGGCTTGCATTCGCCACGATCTCCTATCAGTCCGTCAGCTGCCGATCTTAATTCATCAGCTGCATCACGCGCAAGCAACCATGCGATATGGTCATAGGCCCCATGACTTGATACTCCCATCATGGTTCTATAATCTCCTCCGGGGCTCTCCGTCCTTCTACCCTCACCCCACATTCTAGCTCAGTGTGTTCATAAGCGTCAGATTCGACATATGCTGAATAGAATGGCAAGGCGCCGGCCTGCATGGCGACGTATACTGCGTCGCTCGTCGCTCACGTGAATTCGAAGATCCGGTTGTACACGGACCGCCCCTCGCGCGACCTCACTCCGCCGCCGCCGTACCGCGCGAGGATCTCCGCCACGGCGCGCGCGACGGACGGCTTCTCCGCCACGTTCAGCACGCGCACGGCGCGCCCGCCCGGCATGACGCCGATTTCCTCTTTCCGCTCGCCTCAAAATGTCAGCTCTCGGATTGGCCTCTATTCTCCTCGTTCAGCACGCGGATGGCACGACCGGCCGGCATAGCGGAAACGTAACGAGTCCTCTTAAACGGCCAACGGGCGTGGCGCTTTCAACCGGCATGATGCCGGTCGCCTCAAACGGTCAGCACGCGGATACGCCGGCCAGCCGGCATGACGATATGTTTCTGGTCGCCTGAAACGCTTTAGAGACGTCTCAAAATCGCTCGCACGGTGACTACAACGCGGATAAAAGATAATTGGCGCGGTGATCGAATCATTCTTTGCTGACTTGACCGGCTAACCTAAGCTGTCCTAGGCTGAGAATACTCTAACCCAGGCCTAACGGATAATTCCCGGAACGAAGAGGTCCAATCTCGAAGGACCGTAAGAAACCGTTCAGAAATCAGGCAGGCCGTGCGAGAACGTCACGAAGCTCACTCAACCGTACTAAACGAAATTCACTTGGGGTAACTGCGACCACTGACACCAGCAGGAGTCACACATGTGTTATGTTTGGTAAGCTCACAAGGAGACAATTTTTTTGACATATGAATCGAATATTTGATGGCGTTTGCGCGGTTCAATACGTTTATACACGGTCAGGAACGTTTTGTTCCTTCCACAATTTTAGACCACTGCGCACCAGACTGAACTCTACCACGTCAATTTCCAGCTTCATGCCATAAATGTCGAACTTGAATTACGAGCTCGATCCAAAGCGTGCCTAGCAGAAAAACCCTTCTGTGCCCCACGGACTATGCACATATTTTGTTCGCGCTCCGACCTAGGAGTGGGACTCTAATCGTCGACAGAGGTAACAGGATTCATACCCGTTTGCGACGGTAGGCTGGCGACCGCCACGTCATCGCTTCGTCGCCTGGTGTCGCACCGCCATGCTCCTTCCGCGACGGTCGCATATCCACTGGAATTTTCCGTACTTTCGCGCGTGGCGACTCGAGGTCATTTCAAACGGTTGACCTTTAGACCAATTTTCGACGACACGGTTAAGCGCGAGAACGGCTTTAGTTCCGTATACCCGTTCGGCGCGGCTCGATTGACGACCGCGCTAAATCTGCGCGCTCGTGAACCCAGCCCGTCAGTCACTTTTTGTTTTCGTCGTGAATACCAGTTTCGCCAGAATCTCGTCACCTATCGCCCAAGAAAAATCACCACTCTGTGCGAAAAGCGTGCTGCTATGGCTTCCGCTTCGCCGGCAAGGGACTCAGCGATGGCGGAAAGTGGCGGCGAGGATGGCGGCGATGCGCGGAGAGAGCGTAGGCCCGGCGGAGAGGGTGGCGTAGATGGTGGCGGAGAGGGTGGCGGAACGGGTGGCGGAACGGGTGGCGGAACGGTTGGCGGAACGGGACTCTCTGAACCCACTGGCGCGGAACCTGGTGTCTGGCGGGGGAGGGGGAACGGGAGTGGGAGGGGGAATGGGAGCGGGAGGTGGAGTGGGCGGGGGAGGGGCGGAAAGTGGAACACTTGGCAGAGGAATGGGGATGGGGGCGGGGGAGAGGGGGAGGGGGAGAGATTCGAGGCACGGGAGGGAGCGGAGCGAGGGGAAGAGGGCGGAGGAAGGGGAGGAGAAGGAGGATATGGAAGGGGAAAACGGTGGGGGAGAGGGGGAGGAAGGGGAATGGGAGGGGGAGGAAGGGGAAGGGGAGGGGGAGGAAGGGGAGGGGGAGGGGGTTCAGGGGGGACTGTGCGGATGACAGCAGGGGAGGTGGAGCGGCTGTATGGCACACCGAGTGTGATTGTAAAGGAAGTGAAGAGCGATGGGACGACAGTGATGCAAGTGAAGGTGCGGACGCTGTGAGGAGGATGTGAAGAGTGCATCCCAAGGGGTTGGATGCGGTGTTTCGGTTCACCAGCATCTGTAGCCACCGTTACGTAACGTCGTGCGCAGAGCTATGGAGCCGAGTCCTATTTATTCTTCCTGGCTTGATGTCTGCCATGCCATGCCATGCCGTGCCATGCCATGCCATGCCATGCCATGCCATGCCATGCCATGCCGTGCCATGCCATGCCATGCCATGCCATGCCATGCCATGCCATGTCATGCCATGCCATGCCGTGCCATGCCATCCAGGTTGACGGAGCACTTGCTGGTCTTTTCTCACGCAACGAGTAAGATACGCGCCTCATACCCACGCACACTCTTTCTAGCATTCCCTTTCAACTGATTTCATGCAGTTGTTGCTCACCATCCTTCTCCTTACTGTGCGAATCCACACTCACATCATGCGCACCCCTGCAAGGCAGCTCACTGCCCTCACAGTCTCACCCCTGCCATCCCCCTCTTGACCGCTCTCCACCACCGCATTGCCCATTGCCAAACTGCTGCCGTCACGTGCACTTGCAGTAGTTGCTGCAGTGAAACCGAAGAACCGACTGATGTAATAGACTCTCGCTCTCCATCCCCTCCTCTCACCCCATCCTCTCACCCCATGCTCTTCCCTAGTCCTCTCACTTCTCTCCCTCCATTTGGCTTCCCCGGTGCAGCAGTCTGAGCAGCATAGCCCAGGCGACCTCGTGTGTGGTGAAGGCACCCACACACTTCAACAAGAGGACTCACGCCCATGCCGTCTTCGGTACTGCCATGCCATGCCTTTCCATGATATGCCAAGAGATGCCCATGCCTTTCCATGATATGCCATGAGCTGCCCATGCCTTTCCGCCATGCAATGCCATGCTATGATCGATGCATGCTTCACATGCCCCATACCACCATGCTAGCATGAGAGCATGAGGCATCTAGCCTTGAGGCATTCAGGTATAAGGGCTTTCGTATCAGGGCCTCATCACTCCCGGGGTTTCAAATATAGTGGCTTTGATACAGGAGCTTCGTTATAAAAGCTTCAACGTAGGGGCTCCATTATAGGGGCCTGAATATAGGGGCTTCCATATAGGTGCTTCAATACAGGGTTTCATTTTAGTGACAAAAACCGCATTGTAAGTGGTGCGGTGCGAGCTGCCACTCATCCACCTACCGTGACCCCTGTTTCTTCCCCCATCTCCCCTCCTTTTCTTCCCGGCCCTTCCTCCCTGCTCGCTGTGCCTCAGAAATATCTGGTGCAAGTGAGGAGGTAGCGGCAGCAGGATTGGACCTTTTTGCTAGTGTGCTCGCACAGGTGCGTTCAGGTGATAGGCCAGGTGGGTTCAGGTGATAGGCCAGGTGCGTTCAGGTGATAGGCCAGGTGCGTTCAGGTGATAGGCCAGGTGCGTTCAGGTGATAGGCCAGGTGCGTTCAGGTGATACGCCAGGTGCGTTCAGGTGATAGGCCAGGTGCGTTCAGGTGATAGGCCAGGTGCGTTCAGGTGATAGGCCGGGTGCGTTCAGGTGATAGGCCTGGACCGTGGTGGGTTCCGGTGGTATGCTTGGTTGGTTCAAAGTGAAAGGTGGTGTGAGACCCACGGCCGTATGGATGAATTTAGTCGATACTGCAGGTTTGGTGGTAGCCCAGCAGTGCTTATTTGAATATGTGTCGCCATTGACAACCCAGCAGTCGTCTTTGAGTTGAGTTGACTCAATAGTCCTCGTTCTCACCGCCTTTCTCACCCGACTCTTACCCCAAGACCCCCGCCCTTCCTCCTTCTCCCGCAGGCCATTGACTGCCCTGCAGTGTGCTACTTGCACTTCCTCTCCCTCCATGCAAGCCCTCTCTCACTGCCGCCACTCCCACCCGTGTCTTCTCTCCCGCCTCTCTCCCCCTCCTTCGGCAGGCCATCGACAGCCCGGCAGTGGGCTATTCGCACTTCCTCTCCCTCCCGCTCGCCTCGCACCGCCCGCTGGTGGCTCGCCTGCACGACTTCCGCTCCTCCGTGCTGCAATCTGTGGGCTTTCCATTGACACAGGGGCAGCTCACAGCGGCAGCTGAGGCTGCTGCTGCTGGTAGCACTGATGATGATGCTGGTGATGGTAGTTCTGCTCGTAACGGTGCTGGTGGTGATGATGGCGCTGGTATTGCTTCTGTCGCTGGTGCTGGTGATGCTGCTGGTGATGCTGTTGCTGCTGCTGTAGCAGATAGGGAGGGGGTGGGAGAAGGTGAGGTGGTGGGAGAAGGTGTGAAGGATGATTGTGCAGCAGCAGTTGAGGGAAGAGGAGGGAAGAAATGCTTGAGGGAGGAAGAGGTAGAAGGGGAAGGGATGGCAGATGAGAGTGGAGGCGAGGAAGGCATGGGAGGAAGTGTGAGAGTAGGAGGGAAGAGAGTGCGCTGTGATGATGCCGCTGCTACTGCTGCCGCTGCTGCTGCCGCTGCTTCTGCTGCCGTTCCTTTTACTGCAGCAGCTGGTGATGCCTCGGCTGGTACAACTGCTGGTGGGGGGTCTTTTGATTGTGCAGAAAGGGGGGAGGGTGGTGAAGGAGAGAGGGTGGCAGTTGCAGGACAAGAGGGGGAGAGGAGAGAGGAGAAGCCGTGGGAGCAGCAGCCAGGCGGTCAGAGAGGGAAGGGAGTGAAGGACAAGTATGGTGAGTGAGTGAGTGCGTGAATGTGTGAATGAGTGAGTGAGTGAGTGCGTGAATGAGTGAATGAGTGAGTGAGTGAGTGAATGAGTGAGTGAATGAGCGGGCGGTGCATCTGTTGTAAATCTTCCATACTATCCCACCCCATTCCCCACTTACCCCCACACACACACCCCATGCCACGGCCGAACAGGGGGTGTGCACCCGTCCATCTTCATCAATCCATCCACCTTCCACCGCACTGCACACATGCTCAAGAGCCGGTCGCCCCTCCCCACCACGTGGCAGCAACTGACCATCCCTCCGTGCCTCACAAGTCACCCCCCTTCCGCGCCCCACCATCCCATCTCCCCCCCATCAACCTCACCCCACCCCACGGCCCACCAGGAGGCGTGCACCCGTCCATCTTCATCAGCCCCACCACCTTCCACCTCACTGTTCAGATGCTCAAGCTCTGGTCGCCCCATCCCACTGGTGCAAGCAGCTGACCATCCATGATCCCTCTGCTTTCCACCATCCCATCCTCCCCCTCCCCCTCCCCCCTCCCCACCCCACCCCACACCCCACCAGGGGGAGTGCACCCGTCCATCTTCATCAGCCCCACCACCTTCCATCTCACCGTGCATATGCTCAAGCTCTGGTCGCCGCTCCGCGTGCAAGCGGCTGCTAACGCCCTGCAGGTGCGCTGTGGGAATGAGGCACCCGCACTTATTCACTTATTCACATAGTCGTCTGAACGAACCCAAGTTGTGAGGGGAAACGAGTCATCTGTATCTATCGACCTGCCACTACACATGCCGTGCCAATGTGCATCGTCTGGCTTTTTTTTGTTTCTTTAAAGGCACTACTCATGCACACCTTGTCTTGCTAAGCGTGCCATGAGTGATGTGTCGCCGCATCTCCCACCTCATCCCTGCATGAGTGATGATGACACGTGCTCCATGCACGGTGCCGCCCCTGCATGCATTGTCTCACTGTGCCACCCCCTTGTTATCCCTCCTGTCCCTCCTGTCCCCCCTGTCCCTCCTGCCCCATCCCAGGCGGCCATGCCGAGAGTGCAGGAAGTGTTGGGCGACTCTCCTCTGGTCATTCGCCTTGTCGGCCTTGTGAGTCTCGTGTTGGTTGACGCCCCTACCTCCCTGTGTATCTGCTCACCCTCTTCCTGCACTGACTCTTGAGGCGACACAAAAGTCACCTAGTTGCCGCGCATCTGGGACGCATGATAAGAATCTAGTCATTCGCCCATTGGTGAGCCTCGTGCCTCGACATGCCGGGATGGGATCTGTGCCATTCATGGCACATGGGGCACGCATGGCACATGGGGCATGCATGGCACATGGGGCATGCAAGCCACGTAGGGCATGCAAGCCATGAGGGGCATGCAAGCCACGAGGGGCATGCAAGCCATGAGGGGCATGCAAGCCATGAGGGGCATGCAAGCCATGAGGGGCATGCAAGCCACGAGGGGCATGCAAGCCATGAGGGGCATGCAAGCCACGAGGGGCATGCAAGCCACATGCGGCGTGCATGGCAAGTTGGGCATGCAAGCCACATGTACTTCGCAAACTGGTCCTCACACCCTTGACCTTACCCCTGCCACCCAACTCGCCCCACTGTGCAGAAGTGCATGAAGGGGCATCCATCCAAGGCGCATGTGCTGTATGCTGACATGCAGGAGGTCGATGGGGGGAACCGGCTGCCTGCCCTCTGTGGTGAGATGCCACGCCATGCCACGCCATGCCATGCCATGCCATGCCATGCCATGCCGTGCCATGCCATGCCATGCCGTGCCGTGCCATGCCATTCCGTGCCGTGCCGTGCCATGCCATGCCATGCCATGCCATGCCGTGCCGTGCCGTGCCGTGTCGTGCCGTGCCGTGCCATGCCATGCCGTGCCATGCCATGCCGTGCCGTGCCGTGCCGTGCCGTGCCGTGCCGTGCCGTGCCGTGCCATGCCATGCCATGCCCTGCCCTGCCGTGCCGTGCCGTGCCATGCCATGCCATGCCATGCCGTGCCGTGCCGTGCCATGCCACACCACGCCAGGTCTGCATTCATGAGCAAGGAGGCGAGGGGGTGAGTGAGGCAGTTCAGTCAGGCAGGACCAGTCCGTTCATCCATCACTCTTACTGCCATCTTGTCCCCTCTCCCAACTCCTCCATTCCCCCATCTAAACTCCCTCCCTGCCTTTCATCCAGAGGTGCTGAGGGCGGCGTGCAGGGAGGCAGGGCTGGTCACACCTAGAGACTGCCGCCAGCCTCTCAAGGTGAGTAGTGGGCTGGCAGCCGATAGAGGATGTAGCAGGCTGTGGAGGGGTGTATGGATCAGTCATTTGGTTCATTCCAAACAGCAGGTGACTCTTCCCATCCCTCATTTTTTCGTCGTCTACTCTCTTTTTTATTTGCCTTTCCACATCCCTCCCCCCCTCCTCCCCTCTCCTCTCTCTTCCCGCCTGTTCTTCTCCGCCTCCCCCACCCGACCTTCTCGTCCCCTTTCCAAACTTCCTCATTCCCCCGCTTCCGTTGCTCCACCGCCCCCCCATCTCTCCCCCCCCACCCACCCACCAGCTACACGCCACCATCATGAACACGAGCCACAGGAAAGGGTGGGTGGGGGGGGATTGGGTGGGTGTGCGAGCAATTGGGCATGGGAGGTGTAGGTAGAGAGGTACTCACCCACTACACGCCACCATCATGAACATGAGCCACAGGTGGATGTGGAGCGGGTGGGTGGGTGTGCGAAAATATGAGGGTGCAGGACAGCAGGAGGTGAGGTGATGGCTGGTGTGTGCACACCAGGTGGCCAATATGGACCCCCATCATGAACAAGAGCCAGTGGAAAGGGTGGGTGTGGAAGGGGTAAAGGTGGGGGTGGGGGGGTGTGTGGGTGTGGGGATTAGCTGAGTGTGGGAGGTATGTGGGTGTGAGGAAAGCAGGTGTGGGAGGGCAGTCTGGCAGATAGGTTAGAGGTTGGTGTGTAAGAAACAGCAACATGGTCATGAGTATTCCCAGAGTTTCCCGTCTTCCTACCGCATTCTCGTTCTCGAACCCACCTTCCCTCGCTTCTGCCTCCTGTCCCCAACGCCAATATGCCGGTTCATGTGGCCAATCTCCATGCCTCTCTGATAGCCTGTTTTATTAGTCGACTCAAAAACAATTGCCATGCCTCTGATAGTGGCACAGCATGATCAATCACAGCGGCCCTCCTCCTGCTGTCCCATACCACTCACTCCCATCTGCCACGTCTCCTCTCCTTGCCCTGCCCTCACCCAGCCCCCCCCCAGCCCCCATCGCAATGCCCGGGTGCCATATGATGCATCCCTCATCATGGCACATCATGGTGAATCAGCGCAGGCCTCCTCCACCTCCTGTCCGATTCCACTCACTCTCTCGTATTTGCCACCTCGCCTCTCCTTCCCTTGCCCCCACCCCACAGCCCCCATCGCAATGCCCGGGTGCCACTTGATGCCTCTCTCATCGTGACACAGCGTGGTGGATAGGACGGGCTTCCTTCTCCTTTTGTCCCATTCCACTCACTCTAGCATCCCCCCCCTTTACCTTTCCCTGCCCTCCCCTTCCCCCCCACCCCCCGCCCTCCCCCAGCCCCCATCGCAATGCCCGCGTGCCATTTGATGCCTCCCTCATCGTGGCACAGCATGGGGACACGGAGTGGGGGAAGGTGCGACTGGGGGAGGTACATCTGTCGCAGAGGTTCAGATTCGATGGTACATCTACCACTGCTGCTCCTCGCTGCCTTTGCCCTGATCTGACTGTGCCTTAGGTTTTCTCTACTGTGTGGAAGTGCCACAGTTACTTGATTCTCACCTATCGATATGAAATGAAGTGTATAAATGCCACAGGTACTCCACACACTCTTTAGCTCCTGGCCTGCCACCTCATCACAGCCGTTCATTTGACCCACTCACTTCATCACTGCCCACAAAGTCCAGGTTCACCGAATCTGCACCCGCAGCAGCAGCATCAGCATCAGCCATGGATGGATGTGAGCAACCAGCTCGATGAGGCCATCACAGTTGGGAGACCGGGCCAACGGTTTTCTCCCTCGGCACGCACAACGGAATGGTGAGATTAGATAGGATGGGTGATACAAATATGGACCCCTAATGTGTTGTACCCACTATAGAGTACCTCACTACAGCCTAATAATATATATATACCGTATTACCCCGGATAGTAGCGCATATGCGCTTATAATAAAATCAGTTTTTTTAAGGGGGGCGCTTGTAATTTTATATCGGCCATAAGCGCCGGCGCTTATATAATGACAAATACAGAAATACAACTTAAACGCACCAAATTGTATATTTCAGTCTCATAAGTGGAATCGAATCGAAATTTTACAAGGTCCAGAATCAGAATCGCGCGAGGGCGATTCTCTGACGGTGCACAGGGCTTTGGCACGTCATTTTGCCTGCGTGCCAACTCATACTGACTGGACGCGCAACCAGTAGGTCCTCGAAATTTAAACAAAGTGAAAATGGGGTGTTGACTCGCTAGAAATTTGAAATTCGTTACCGTTTTAATCAGGATTGAAAATTAAAATTTGCATGCGCTTATAATATATCAGGGGTTTACAGGGGGGCGCTTATTATCGAATTCCGGCCATAAGCGCCATGCTCCAGATAGAAGCGCCGGCGCCTTTAATCGGACCGCGCCTATATCCGGGGCCATACGGTAGTTTAACGCATCCCCATAGGCCAAGTGAGGGACAACAAGAGAGAGCAAGAACAACAAAAGGTCACAAAACCAGTTAAGAGAAGCAACAAAACAAAGCTCAGGGTGAATCACTGAGTCACTACACGGTATGTGTCAAACATATATGATATAGCCTGTTTAGGCTGTAGTGGGTTAGACCTTAGGGGGTACAGCTTTCTAGGTTTTCCTATTTGTACCCATCTCATTTCTAGTTCATCCATTCCTCGCTAGTTCTCTCACATGGTATCAGAGCGGGTTCCCTAGTGGGACCGTTTTCCCTTGGGCCCACCACGTCGAATCTTTTTTTTTCCTACCCTGCCCGAAGCGCGCATTGCGCTCTGCCCTGCTGCCGCAGCGGCCCTAGTCTTTCTGCCCGTCGCGCCCTTAGCGGCCCGCCCTGCCTTCGCGGCCCTTAGCGGCCCGCCCTCTCGCCCTTAGCGGCCCACCCTGCCGCCCTTCGCGGCCCCTTCGCGGCCCTTCGCGGCCCCTTCGCGGCCCTTCGCGGCCCCTTCGCGGCCCTTAGCGGCCCCCTTCGCGGCCCTTCGCGGCCCCTTCGCGGCCCTTCACGGCCCCTTCGCGGCCCCTCGCGGCCTCTTTGCGGCCCTTCGCGGCCCCTTCGCGGCCCTTCGCGGCCCCACCCTGCCATTGCGGCCCTGCCGCCCTGCCGTCACGGCCCTGCCTCGAGCTGTCGCGGCCCTGCCTCGAGCTGTCGCGGCCCTGCCTGCCGCCGTCACGGTCCTGCCTGCCGCCGTCGCGGCCCTGCCTACCGTCGCTGTTGCGGCCCTGCCTACAGCCGCCGTTGTTGCGGCCCTTCCTGCGCCCGCGTCGCCGCCCTGCACTGCCGCCCCGAAGCGGCCCTGCCCTGCCGACGCGCCACGGCCCTGCCCTGCCAGGTGCAGCCCTACCCCGATCCGCCCTGGTAAGCGCACTGCCGCACCCGCGCCGCCCTGCCGAGCCGCGCCGCCCTGCCGAGCCGCGCCGCCGAGCCGAGCCGCGCCGCCCTACCGAGCCGCGCCGCCCTGCCGAGTCGCGCTGCTCCTGCTACTGCTACTGCTAGTGCTACTGCTGTCATGGCTAGCCCTAACGTACTCACCTTCGATGCTGAGGGTCGAGCGGTCGATTTTGAGGTCTGGGTCGATGATCTGCAGCTGTTTCTGCAGTGCGATAGCAAGGATGGAGTCTCACATTTTGACCTCACGTCTGGCGCCTTTGCTGCACCTGCTGCTGATGCTGCAAGTACTGTTCGCTCACAGTGGACCACGCGCAATGCTGCTGCCCGTCTTGCTGTCCGTAGTCACCTGCCGTCTGCTGAGCGCGCGCACTTTAGCCAGTACAAGACTGCTAGCACTCTGTACGCTGCTGCTGTTGCGCGCTACTCCTCCCCTGCCACTGCTGCCCTTAGCCACCTCATGCTGCCGTACCTGTTCCCTGACCTAGCCGCTTTTGCCACAGTCGCTGACCTCATTACGCACCTCCGCACTAGTGACACCCGCTACCGTGCTGCGCTTCCTGCCGAGTTCTGCGCCAAGAACCCCCCCCCTATGTACATCACTCTCTACTACCTCGTCACCCGGCTCCCTGACTCCCTTCGCTCGGTCAGGGACCACTTCCTCTCCCTTTGCCCCACCACGCTCACTGTTGACCTCCTCGAGGAGCACCTCCTTGCAGCTGAGAAGAGTATAGTCGCTGTAGGAGCCTCTCGTGGTGACCCTCGTGCCCCTTTCTTTGAGGGGTGCTCCCCCGTCCCTCTTTTGCCCTCTGTTGCCTCTGCTGCTGCTGTCGACCTCGTTGGCACCGAGTCGGTCGGCACTGCGTCTGCCCCTAGTGGGAAGCGCCGCTACGGCAAGGGCAAGGGGGGCAAGGGGGGTGGAGGGGATGGCGGGGGCGGTGGTGGTGGCGGTGGAGGAGGCGGAGGGGGTGGGGGTGGAGGTGGGAGTGGTGGCGGGAGTGGGGGCTTCGGTGGCGACGGTGGAGGTGGAGGCGGCGGAGGCAGCGGCAGTGGGGGTGGAGGTGGCGGCAGCGGCGGCGGAGGTGGGGGTGGCGGTGGCGGCGGTGTGCAGCGGAGAGGCTCTAGCGGTGGCCAGCGCCAGCAGCAGCAGCGCTCCCGTGAGACCCCATCGCCTCAGCAGCTTCGTGAGTGGTACGCTGGGCGTGGGAGGTCTGGGGGTGCTGGTCCCTGCACTTACGTTCTTCGCACCAGCGACCGCAGTGGAGAGACGTGCGGCGGCCCGCACGCCACGCTACGCTGTTTCGGCCGCCTGACTGACGCCTGGCGTACACAGTTCCCTGGCTCCTCTGAGATCCCTCGCTGGGATATTCTGCTTAAAACCAGGGTGCACGCGAGGGATGAAACAGATTGGCGGGAGGGGGGGGAAACGAAATTGCGGGGGAGGGGGGAAACGAATTTCGACTTGAAGGGGTTGAAAGCACACCTCGTAACCCACTCAGTCAAGGGATAACCTTTGATGCACATTCAGCTGAATGTGCACCCCGGTTTTAAGTCGGGGGTTGCTATCTTTGATCTTGATTATGATGCTATCCTTGCTGCTATGTATGCTGTGTCTATTAGTGCTGAGGGTGACTGTTACCTGTGTGTTCCGCCCGACCCGGGCATTGAGGCTGCTGCTCTTGGTGCTAGTGAGTCTGCTGCTCCAGGTGCTGGTGAGGCTGCTCTCTCAGGTACCGCGTTGGCTCAGGTCTTGCACACTTTCACCCTTGACTCGGGTGCTTCCCGCTCCTTCTTTCGCGACTGCACCACACTCTCGCCGCTCAGTCGGCCAGTGGCAGTCTCTCTGGCTTACCCCTCTGGGGGTCCGGTCCTTGCGCACTCCTCCACGGTTCTGCCGTGTCCGGCGGTCCCGTCTGGCTCTTTGTTTGGCCTCCACCTCCCCTCGTTCTCCACGAACTTGGTGAGTGGAGCTGACCTTCAGGACGAGTGGATTGACCAGTTCACTCCTGGAGGTCAGCGGGTGACCCACTGTTCGTGTACTCGGACGGGTCGGCACCTGGCCACTTTCGCTCGTCAGCCAGGGTCGAGCCTGTACACCCTGACTACTGTGTCTCCTCCTGTTGCTGAGTCTGGTCAGGTAGCCGCGTCGGGTCAGGTGTT